GGTTGCTCAGACTTTTATGCATTTTGTGGCCAGCCCCAAGAAAATAAAAATAAAATAAACAACAAAATACATTGCAGACTCATACTCCTAATCTACCCATTCTTGAGTCTTCATGTCATCCTGAGTAGCTTTTGATCTTCCAGAAATGTTAGTACTCACGGACAATAACAAATTAAATAATATTCAATGAATAGATGATTCAAACGACATTATCTGTCATCATCAAAATCTCAAACTCGGGGTCATGGGTTGCAACAATCTCCCCCTTTTTGATGATGTCAAATAATATTTATTGTAAGTAAGTGTTAAAGGCATTTTTTTTATTTAATTTAAACATAATAATAAGAAGAAAAGAAATAAAAGAAGATGCAGTACAAAAGAAAAAAAATGTGCATTTAACCATAGAAATAAAATACAACAACCTTCTCCTCCTTTTGATAGCACCAAAAAGAGGAGCACACACTACAAAAGAAAAAAACAACTACAATACAAAGATAATTTATAGTGGAGGATCCTGATCAGTAGGTGGTGGAGGTGGGTTTGGTTAGAAGTACTGAAAGAGAGTGTCAAAGCGCTGATTAATAGCAGTAAAGTGCTCTCCAAACCATTGCATATCTGTCTCGTGTTGTTGATGTTGTTCTTGAATGTGAGTATCGAGACGAGTCTGAAGTTGGTCAAAGGGTTCGACTAGATCATCATTAGGGTAAGTAGGTGCAGGTGCTCGAGGTGGTGCATGTCGTCGTGGGCGTTCTTGAGCTGCAGCCGGGGCATCTTGCCCTTCTTCTTCGTCAAAAACAGGTTCTTCCGGCTCGTGTCCCCAATGGAAAAGAATACAGAAAGAGGCATCCATATAAAAAATAGGAAGATTATTGGGTTCACCAGGATAGGTCAATTGATATTTATTTTGGAGAATATATCCTATAAGGTGTCCAAGAGCTATATTTTGTTTTCGACGAGTGTTAGGGAGACGAACGAAGGTCATGTGGTGAATGTAGTCAATAATCAGATAGGCCTCGTCAAATTTTGTGTTGGTCATGATAAGGTAGGAAGTGACAGATAGGGTCGGGGTCATGTTGACATGGTCACCACCTTTGGGTATTATGGAGGTACGAAGGACATTCTGAATTATGTGCGCATTTATATTTAGTGAAGAAACGAGTGGTTGGTGTTGATAGAATGCGGCATTCCTAAGAACTCGATTAACGACTCTCCAGTCGAAATCATTTATAAGAGAAGAATGAACCGTAGGCACTTCAGTAGATAGCCCAATGTGTTGGGCGATGTCAGCTTTGGTTATTTCAACATTTTGACGATAAACAAAAGAGTGGAAAGTGAGGTTGCCGACAGTATAATTCAGATTGGCTAGGAATTTTAGAAGGAGTTAGAATTATAAGGGAAGGCCAGGGTGAGAAGAAATTGGAGGGTGGTGGAAGCAAAGAGGTTCATTACCTTGAAGTTCAGAGCCTCCTGATTTTGCAGTCCATAGGGTGTGATTTTGCAGGCTTTGAACTTGTGGTATGCATCCTCGTTTTCGGCATTCAAGAATCGAGCGCTATGGTGGCGAGAGGAAGATGAGCTTCCCACTACCAAACGACCTCTCTTGCTTGAACCAGACATCGTGTAGAGGCTGAGTGCAAGGTAAGAAGGAATCAAGTGGATTGATTAGTGGAGTGCAAGTGAAGAGTTCGGCCTACCCACCCAATTTATAGAGTTTTCCACACATCATACAGAACGATCGTAAATCATACAGTATGATATGGTAAAAACTGCTCTAACGGTTCGTACTAGGAAAAAGAGGTCATAACGTATAGTACGATAAAGATCATACAGTACGATCAGAGGAATATCGATCATCCCGAGGAATTCAGTATGACTTTTGACTAAACATATCGAACTGTACGGACAGTTGTATCGTACAGTCCGAATTGCATTAACATCGTACCGAACGCCTTTATTTCATTCTCATCCATTTGCTGAGGTGGATCATACATTACGGTGTATGTAAATTGTACAGTACGATCTGTAATAATAACGTACCAGGACAGTTAAATTCGTCCCAATCCATTCGCTTTCATGGTGCGTACAGTACGAAGAAGAGATATCGTACCGTATGATGACCAATAATTAACCGTACAATACGATGATAGTCGTATAGTACGATCAACAGAGATGAAATTTACCATTTTAGTGTGTTCTGTGTAGATTATAGAATACCATACAGTACGATATGTGTATCGTACAGTACGATATTACAGAGTCAAGGCTGGTGCTTTATGTGTAGTGAGTGTGTGATGATCAGGAGCTGCCCTATTTAATTTTTTTGTTTTGTGTTGGTTTTTTTATGCAGTTATATCTATGACACCTAATCTAGTCCTCAAGGTGCTAAAGGTGTCGAAAGCTAAAGGTTTTGTAAATATGTCAGCTAATTGATCTCCTGTAGCGATGTGATGCAATTCTATATATCCCTTAACAACGTGATCTCTAATAAAATGGTGTCTAT